GAATCAAAGTGGAACTCCGCACATTTTCACTGGTTGTCTCTAGATTGGGGGGATGACCTGAACCCCTGACAGCTTTTTTTCCCTATGTGTGGCCTCGGTAAGGAGATTCTCTTAATTCCTGCTCCAGAGACACAACAGGAAGTGAAAGCCAATCTCTTCGATGTCTGTGAAGGTTCTCATTCGTCCAGGTCATGGTATATCTGTAGAAAATAAATCAAAGCAATTGGACTTGCTGTATTTTTCTTGAAGACGTTTCACTGGTTATCCGACCAGCTTTCTCAATTCAGAAATGAGGAAGCTGGTTGGATGACCAGTAAAACATCTTCAAGCAAAATACAGCAAGTCCAATTGCTTTGATTTATTTTCTACAGATAATCTCTTCAATGTGAGGGGTTAACCTTCTCTTAGACAGTTGTCAGTGGTGCTGGTGTCCCCAATATGGCAATTTCTATCCTGACAACAGTTCTGTTCTTTTAATCATGTACAGTGTAGGCTCAACATCACATTTGGATATTATCATAGCATCCTGTTTTCCGTAAGCCATGTACAGCACCCTTCCTACCAGCCATGATCTGCCTGCATTGCATAGAGCAGCACCGAGACCCAGAATCTAAAATAAGCTCAAATACATATAAGGGAGCTGTTTAACTTAATCTTAAAGTGACATTAAAGTCATAAATGAGGAGAACTATGGGGAAAAGCCCTGACCCCATAGTTCTCCTTTAAATGATGCCTCTTGATCCGATTATCTTCTTCCTTCCACTTGTATTGAGAAGTCCCTCCAGCACTTGTGCCGGTCTCTGATCCAGTGCAGACTCCTCAGGTCCCACGTTGTCTGTCCAACGTGCACGCTCACGGCTGCGGGCATTCACCTCCACTGGGTCTCTCCTCTTCTCCCCAACGAAGATCTCTACTATGCATGTTCCCTTCCTATCATCGTGCTCGGCCGCTCGAGAAGCTCCAGATCTTTAGACGGGAGCGAGCGGCGGAGACACAGGTAAGTAATTACCTTTTCGGTAACTTTTTTTTTTTTTTCTAAACATTAGATATATGCAAATAAAAAAAGAAAAACAACGAGTGTTTTATTATACTATAAGCCTGTACAAAAATGTTATAGCCACATATACATAGTTACATAGTATTTGAGGTTGAATAAAGACATAAGTCCATCAAGTCCAACCTATTGTGTGTGTGTGTGTGTGTGTGTGTGTGTATAGGTCCCTGAGTGTTCTCATGGGACTGTAGGTGACATATGCTTATACTAACTGAATATTCTAAATAAATAACCACAAAAAAACACACTAGTTCATCAGAATTGGCATTAATTGGCCGCGGCATTTTAATTAACCAGTAAAATGTTAAAACCAATCATATTGCCCAATCACCCAAAAATCACACATAATAGTCCCCACATTCCCATGAAAATGGGCCTCTAATGGACGCCATTTTTACATTCTTAAGTACACCCTTGTACATTACAGTCTCTCAGGAAATCGTCCAAAAGCTTCTTGAATGATTCCACACTATTTGCTGAAATCACTGCTTGTGGCAGTGAGTTCCAGACCCTTACCGCGCGAACTGAGAAGAACCCCCTTCGCCCCTTGTGTTTGAATTTTTTTTCTACCAGTTTTAGGTGGTGTCCTCTAGTCTTTGTTACGGAATTAATCTCAAAGAGTTTGTTGCTAATGTCGCTATGACTATGGAACATTTTGTACATGAAAATCATGTCCCCCCTTAATCTCCTTACTTCCAACGTAAACATGTTTAAATTTAGTACCCGTGTCTCATAGCTCTTGTCCTCCATCCCTTTATGAGTTTGGTTGCCCTCCGCTGGACTTTCTCCAGTACAAGGACATCCTTTCTGTGGACCGGTGCCCAAAACTGCACCGCATACTCCAGGTGGGGATACAGAATGGTTCAACTCTATTTTTTCCCCCCTGCGTTTGTGTCATTGTACAGGACGCCAGGAATGGGTCCTGGATGGACGGTATATCCCTCCCTCGTTTAGGTGGTGGTCCCGTTAAGGTCACCTTGTATTCAGGGATCTCGCCAAACAGGGTGAGGGGTTCCGGGTCGGACTTGTATGGGAAACTGCTAGGCGGTCTTCCATGAATTGTTAATTATACATGGGCCCCGGAATCTGGAGGCTCAGAGAGATTTTTGGGTGGGACAGAGCCTCCATCCCTGACTACAGCCAGTTCTGGCAATGAAAGGGTTAACCCACTAGCCAGAGGGTGTGTTAAAAAGGAACAGGAAGCAAGTCAGTCTGTGCCTGTGAGGAGTGTTTGGAGCAGGACACATGGCTGTGTGTGTTAAGCTTGGGAATACTGTCTACCGAGACACTGCTGGGTCCATACTGGGACCGTCTATGAGCAGGCTGGGACTCTAACCCTGAGGTGGGACTTGGTATACAGGCGCTGAGCCGAATCTTGCGTTTGCTGACAATAAGCCATTTTTATTTGATTGTTTGAAGAAAAGAATAAAGTTTTTATTCGCTGATACGGCCGGCTACAGGTCATATCCGCCCTGAATATTACAGTCACCTTTATACCATTGGGAAGATTTCCCTCCACTTCCTGTTCTTAGACAGAACAAGAAGTGAGAGGAAATGCCTGCAAAGTGAGGGAGATATCCACTTAGACATTTTGTCTTATTGGAAGATTTCCCCTCTATTCCTGTTTTGATGACAACTCAAAATGTTGTATTATCCCTCAATTTCAGTCCCAGTGGCAATGGTCACCAGAAAAAATAGGGACGCTGAATTTTTGGCTTTTTATTTGAAAGCCCAACTCCAGGCTAGTTTTTTTTTTTTTTTTTGTTATCATGTTTGTGCCATTCTCTGCATCAAGTAGGACCGCCGGGCAGAAGAGGCCCCAGCATGTTATGTGACTGTCCAGAAGACCTCAGAACAGAATTTGCTTCCATTAGTGATCTATTGCTGGCTGCAATCAGCCAGCAATAGATCACTATAGCAGCTCAGATACTGCTCTATTGAGAGGCTGGGCAGAGTTGTAACAGCTCTTCTGCCGTCACCTCACTACACTGCCAATGTAAACACGATAGAAAACCATTGTATATACATATGTGTTCCTATGGAGGGATCTGTAGAAGGATCAGAAGCCAAGGAGCTGATCATTTCAGCTCCTGGACTTAGTGTTGTACCATCACTGACAGCCAGCAATTCTAACACCACATGATACTGGGATCCAAGAGAACTTCAGTCTGGGTGACATTTTAAAATGGCGCTGTGATAAACAGCCACTGACCCTGACACTTCTTAAAACGACACCCTGTGCTGGCCATAAGGAGACTAAATATGGCTGCCACCTACTGTAGACCACTGGAGGTCCAAACTGAGAAATGGTATACAAGGACTGTTTTCAGAGACGTGACATTCCTTGTGTATACAACGCCCTCATGACGACCAGTGAAATCTGAATATTAGCCACACAATATCATTTTATGCAATGGGTGTGAAAAGGGTTCTATGTAAGGAAGACGAGGGATCCTCTACTCACTTTCACCTTTCTTCCGTTTGAAGAAGCAGAAGAAGAAGAGGAACAAAACAATGGCAGAAGCTGCAGAGCTGAGCACAACCAGCATGAAGATATTCTCTCTATTGCGCCTCAGGATGGGAAAGACGGGGAATTGCTGCGACTGTACGGAGAACGAGAGACCTGCAATGAAAAGGGAAAGTACATCTAGTCAGTAGTCATTGTCATTGTCTATCACAGTTTCTCAAGTCAAAAAAAGACTGCAGGATATATCGAAGAGATTCCTCAATCAGTCTAATCCTTCGACTCGCTTTGGCTGCAGTTCAGCCGAACCGAAGGACTGCTGTACGCGCTATTCACAATGGTGCAATGATTTATATAGACGTGTGATGATATATGTATATGTCAAATGGCTTAATGGCTTAGGCAGATGTGCTATGGTTTATGTAGAGGTGTGATGCTTTATGTAGACTTACGATGACTTATGTAGACGTGCAATGACTTGTGTAGACATGCCATGGTTTATGTAGACTTGTGATGACTTATGTAGACGTGTGATGGCGTATGTAGATGTGCAATGCGTTATGTAGACTAGTGATGGGCCGAACAGGCCCGAGTTCGGTTCGTATTCGAACATTCAAACGTCTGAAAAGTTCGAATTCGAACTTGAACTCGATGCAAGTCAATGGGGGTAGAACTTTCAGAAATGATTGTCCCTTTTAAGAGGGCTTATATGCAAGTTATTGGCCCTAAAAAGGCATGGGGGTCCAGGTACTGCACTAGGGGACAGGAATTAATGAAAACAAAAACAAAACAAAAATATATATATATTTTTAACCCCTTCGTGACTGAGCTAGTTTTCAGTTTCTGTTCATAAATGACTGACACGCTTTTTACATTTTTGCTGTGTGATTCTACCACGTCAGTAATATACTTTCTTACTAAATGTACCCACACATATTATATATTGTTTTTTAGAGGACAGATAGGGCTATATAATTATATCAAACATGTACCTAACGCCTCACTTAGTTTGAATAGAATATAAAAAATGAGGAAAAAAACTAGAAGAAAACACTTTTTTCACAAGTTTTGATTATTTTTTTTTAATTTTTTATAATAATTATAGTATAAAAATATTAAAAAACGGATCTAAATACACCTGAAAAACGCCGGTAAAAAACACGCGTAAAACGCGCATACATAAAACGCCCAGGTGTGAACCAGGCCTTAGAGACTGATCCTGACAGCATGTCAGATTCAGATCTCACATCGTGCCTAGACGATCAGAAATGATACATTTCAAGCAAAGAGATACATTGTATCTCTTGTATCCCTTTGCTTGATATGTATCACATAGCTTCATAAACATCAGGCCAATCTATCGAGCTGTCAAAACAAATAGCAGGGAGGTGAGTCACTCTGCTGCCTCTCTGCTATTTTCAGCTGTCAAATACCGGAGCGCTATTTAGCGCTCCCGTATTTGCATGTAACGGCTTCATTCTTTCATTAATGAAAGAAATAAGCTTTTACAAAAGCTTAACTATTTCATCAATGAATGCCTCAATACTGAGGCATTCATTAGTGACTGGTAACCGCTGAGAATCAGCAGTTACTGGCATTACAGAGCCTGATATAACTCGTCACGTACTGTGTACGTGGCCAGTCATATAGGCAGAAAGTGCTGGGATGTACAGTGTACATCTCCCGTCATGAAGGGGTTAAAGGAACAGTGATTTTTACCTCAATTAAAGGGTAAGTATAAAAATGAAAAATTCCTTCAAATATCTTGCCTGGGGGGTCCCCTTAAACTTCTTGTGAAGTGGCTGATCTGTACGATGTATAGAACTCTGCTATAGAACTCTGCTACAGAACTCTGATAAAGATTTTCTCTATTTGAACTCCAGCAACACACTACGTAGGGCTGCGGTGTAAGCAGCCTTATATAGTGTGCTGCTGGGACTTAGCTATGAGCCTTGATTGGGCAAAGTCATCATGAACATCCCACAAAGTTCATGCGTTCGGCGAGCGCTCCAACTAGCAATGTTCGAGTCGAACATACAGCACATCCCTAATGTAGACATGCAATGACTTATGTAGCATACTATGGCTTATGTAGATGTACAATGACTTATGTAGACGTGTGATGGCTTCTGTAGATGTGCGATGCATTATGTAGCATGCAATGGCTTATGTAGATATGCGATGATTTATGTAGACATGCGATGGCTTGTGTAGATGTCTTGTGGTTTACTTAGCCGTGCAATGACTTATGTAGCATGCAACGGCTTGTGTAGTCATGCAACGGCTTATGTAGATGTGCGATGACTTATGTAGAAGTGCGATGACTTATGTAGAAGTGCGATGACTTATGTAGACTTGCGATGACTTATGTAGACGTGTGATGGCTTATGTAGACGTGCCATGACTTATGTAGACGTGCCATGACTTATGTAGACGTGCCATGACTTATGTAGACTTGCTATGACTTATGTAGACGTGTGATGGCTTATGTAGACATGCGATGACTTATGTAGACTTGCGATGACTTATGTAGACTTGCGATGACTTATGTAGACTTGCGATGACTTATGTAGATGTCTTGTGGTTTACTTAGCCGTGCGATGACTTCTGTAGCATGCGACGGCTTGTGTAGAAGTGTGATGACTTATGTAGACTTGCAATGACTTATGTAGACTTGCGATTACTTATGTAGACTTGCGATGACTTATGTAGATGTCTAGTGGTTTATGTAGACTGATGATGACTTATGTAGATGTGTCGTGCTTTATGTAGACGTGTAATAACTTATGTAGATGTGCGATGTTTTGATCACCATGAGAAAACTTTTCTCAGCCAAACAAAACAATTCTCACATAAACTTTTTTCCTTCTCAGCAAACGCTGTGAAACATATTTACACTGCATTGTGTTTCAGCATGAAACAGTGTATTCGCAGGATCTGAATCACAACCTGAGGACAGTTACAAATAAAGAAGGTGGATTTTCTGAACTACCAAAGGAATAAGGCGTCAGCCTAGAGCAGCTTCTGCTGCTGGATAACAAATATTGAAATGACTTAGAGAACCATCAACAGCTGTCTCCCCAGACAGAAATAGCTGCAATTACCTGAGATTTTGTAGTACAAAAAGTACAGTAGAAAAAAATAAAATGTTTGCATCTGTGTAAGGCTGATGTTTGGGGATATGAGAAACATAATTAAATGGGGACTGAGAATTTCATATGCAGATGCGGCTATGCATAAGCTTTAAAGGTGCCCCGTCGAAAGTTAAAGCTGAACTGCGATCACAAAGAAATGTATTTGAATATATATTTTTCAGAAGCCTCAAAGGATATAAATTCACTTTGTGCGCACCAAATGCCTTGCATACCCAGGTAGCAGTGACATCATCACTGTGCTGCACACAATCTGCACAAAGAAAGGGACCCAGCAAGTCCCATCCTCTACAGTTTGCCTGCAGTAAACCATTGTATTCAGATTCAACATGTAGGGTGGGATCCCCTGCCTAAGGAAGGGGATCCTGCGAGACCCGAAAATTTGCATCTAGTGTGATGTATGCTGCATTTTCGTCAATAAACGCAATTGTGCTGCACCTATAGTGCCGGTGTCTACATTTCTATTGGTTCCTGAATCTGTGCTGTGGAACTTCTTCTTAAAGAGGACCTGTACTGTGGAAGGTGTGCCTAAAAAAAGCAAGCAGAGGGCAAAGGACTAGGCACCAGTATTGCCTGTGGTCTCCTTGCAGCTGATATTTTTCCCATTACAGTTAGGCCCGAAGCAGAACAAAAAAAAAGGCGGAGGGCGTAGATGACTAAGTGAAAAGGGAATACAAGGAATAAAGAGTTTATTAAGGGATGGGTCAACAGGGCAGGGTCACTTAAATAATTGGTCAGGTTCAAAGTTCGGGCGGAGCCTTTGTGGTGGTCTGAGAAGGAGGGTCTTACTGGAGTAAAGCTGGCCATACACTTTACAACCATCGCACAACTTGAGTCGTGCAATGGATGTAAAGTAATTACGATTGTAGGATTTCCCGCGATTATCGTACGATAATCAGCAGGTGTATGGGCACCTTTAGTCTGAGATCGTCGGATGAAGAGAGAAATTCCCGCTCACCCGCCCAGTATATTGGTGTTTGTGGTCTTTTGAAGGTGGAGAACATAGGTGATGGTGGTTAATATCTGGGGATGTGTCTTGACATGGGTCCTCAAGTCATAGTGATTTATGGTAGTCGAACAGGTAATTGAGATATGGATGTGTCTGCAGTCAATGTGCAGGTTGTCCCCGAGGCGGTGTGGTCCGGCTGGGGGCCTAACAGATTCAAGGGGTTCCACAGAGACAGCATATCTGGTAATAATTTGGGCCTTCAAAAGACCTTAAAATATCTCATGCTTAATTTTCAGTTCTGTTAAGTTTATTATGGTTATTTTTGTATAATAAAAAGGCTGCTATGGCCATTCAACTCCATCAAAAGTGTGGTCTAGTTTTATTGGGTTGAAGAGGGGAGTGGAGTTGCCACCTTTTCTTCAAGCGAAACCCGAACACTCTAGCGACGCGCTGACATTTTTTTGGGGAGAATGAGTCATGGCTTATTCATATGCAAATAGTGCCGCCCATTCTTATGTAAATATCACAGTTGAGGCTATTTTAAGTGGGGGGCCAGTAGCCCCTATCTTAATTTTAGTTGCCCCTGTCTGCCTGACATCTTGTGTCCGAGATTCTGCTCCCGTGAAACCCGAACACAGCATTCAAAACCCTGACTGTCCGGGTGAATCCTGGACAGGTGGTGACCCTAGAGGGGAGGTTGGTAGTTCCAGTAGTCTTTGTATCAAGGGAATTGGGACATCGGTTCTACGTTAGTCATGACTTTGTTCTGCTCCGTGTATCTGTGTGGAGGCAACCATCTTGGTAGAAATAGGGCTTTGCTTCATTGTGTCAGAGCTAGTCCCTTGATGACTGGTATGACAGGGAATATTCAGTAAGCAGCAGGAAATGTGGAGGAAGCACAGATCCACACAATAGATTAAGCAGAAGTAGGGAGATCCGTGCATTGCAGGTCCTCAGGTACAGGTTCTCCCTCCAGCAAGGAAAACAGCCATCAGCATAGTAGTGACACCAAATCTCAACCTAAATATGGTAAGACTAGAAGTCAAAGGTAGCAGTGC